AACCTCGATGCGTCAAGAACCTTTTGAAAAAAACACACCAAAGGGCAGTCAGTAGTGACCTTCAGTTGGCAATCATATAAAGAGATATTGCTCTAACGAACGTGATTTACCTGATGGATTTAGTCAGATATTCATAAAAACCTGAATAGCGATGGTGAAAACCACATTACATTACACTATTTTCATTCTCGCTACGATTCTGGAATCAAAACAGTGAAGTGAGCATGCGTGAGGTGAATTTTGAGCGTGCTAGGCAGTCAGTTCGTAGTGTCAGCCAATCAGAGCGAGGTTCTTATATGCGGTTCTTACCCGTATCCCGGTAAAAATTATACCTCGATGTGCCGGATGGAACAATGAACGTTTGACAGCAGCGTGTGAGTAAAATCCCAGAAAATTTGTACTTTATTTTTACTTATGGTGGTTTTAATGTTTCTCTGTTTTTATAATGACTAGACGTGTGCGTGGGTGTCGTCAGTGATAATTTCTGGGCGGTAAATAAATAATGTACAGTCCTCGTCGTTCGCCGAGACCACCAAGATCTGATGCTCATCACCAATATCAGCAGCAATACCATGTGGAGGTCCCCGTACAACATCAACAAATACCGGCAACAGTATCAGGGAGAACAGGTCAAAGTCCTTCACATGCCTCGCCACGCATTTCCCGTCCTCAACTTCACGCTAGATCACACAGCCTCGAGAGGAGCGTCATCACAACTAGTTCCGGTCACTCGCCGATGCCTATGGAACAAATACAGTCGCTGAGCGCTGCATATAACACCAGTCTCGAGTTTATGCCCACTGCCGATAATACTTCAGGCGGTCCTTCAACTTCAAGGTCGCATACTCTACCAAGATCTGTACATATATCGTCACCGCAGCACACGCCGTCACATAGCCGGTCGAATAGCCTTGGTTCAGGCATTCACGCTGTCGTCTCCACAACCACCGATTTCGGCCAACATAAATCGGACCATACTGGTATTTCATCAAATATAACTATGGCATCTCCGCAGCTACCACAGTCTCACGAATTGAGACAGGTGAGGGACACTCTGTTGTTGGACTTGCAGACACAGTTAGCACATCTACAGAAAGAAAACGCCAATCTAAAGAAAGAACTTGAGGTGAAGGAAAACAAATTACAATCCAGCATGAACAGTATTAAGACGTTTTGGAGTCCTGAATTGAAGAAGGAGAGGGCTTTGAGAAAAGAAGAAAACAGCAAATTGTTTGTTTTAGCCGAACAGCAGAATATGTCTTCAAATGAGAATCAGGTAAGAGTGAAACTATTATTTTTGAGTATCACAAACTGGGTTTATTGAAAGTATATGAATACAGGAAGTGAGACATGTCCTTGTTTTGACCGTCTGGTCATTCAAACCACAATGCCCCACTCAACATGGCTTTCTTGATCACTAGTGAGGTGCAGATCCAAACAAAATACTTCTTCAATGCTATAACCCAACAACATTCTACCTAACTAAAATCAAGGGTTCAGAAACAGATGGAATGCCATTGTAACATATATATTCCAACACAAAGTGACAGGGAGTTCACCAGTGTGAATGTGATTGTATTTAAATCAGTTGTGCTTTATCAAGATGTGTAAACAACTTGTTTTGGTTTTATAATGTCTCCTCATAAATTGTATCTTGTAAGGCTTCAAATGCTTGACAGGACACCTGGCATTATTTACTGTCTGCATTGCCAGATAAGAGCATATTTGAAAATGCTAACAAAAGGTGCAGGATAAAATAAAAAAATAAACTGAAAAATAAAATGTTGTTGGTAATCAGAATCACAAAGTCGTTGAAATGTACAAATTACCCTTGGGAAGTTCAAGATCGACAGCTCGTAGCATTTTTATTAGCAACAGAACAGTCATTTACATTCATGGTGGTTGTTATGAGTATTCTTTTACAGACATGCTAAGATTAATTAATTTTACATTACCTCAGTCATTGATTAGGAATGCCGGACCAGTTATGACTTTAGTTCAGATGCTACTTAAAATATAAAAAGCTCTGATAAAGGTATATATGAATGCTTGTGTTGATAAGATAAAGTTCATTGAAAGTGTGTTGCAGTGACTGACTGTACTCTCAGGCTAGGGTCTGTGCTGTTACTTATTTCCCCCACTTTCAGATGTAAGCTTCATGATTCCATTGAATATGGATGGTTGTTTATTATATCATAGTATATAGGGTGAAGGCCATGTGAAGGCATTTTTTACTACTCAGTCCCAGAACTCGATAACTTTTTATCTATAATATAGTATTCACAGTACACAGACAGCAACTGCTTATTACTGTATAGAAAAGATTGTGACTGTTGACCCTTTATCCTTGGGAAAAACTCATTGGCTCACTGTATATTATTTCTGTGAAATTAGAGCTGCTCTTCTTCCCTCAAGGCTAAATTAGAATGTATAGTTACCAGTAAATTACTAGTTATACAGGTGATTCTCAGTGTCAGATGGGATGACATTGTTTGTGATAATCACCTGATTCTGACCTTTAACTTCTACTAAAGCTGAATAATTAACTCACCAGCGATAATAAAACAAATGTGTACTTTGCAATACCAAGTGAATTTGATTGTACTTGCATCTGCAGGCAAGTCTGACAATATTGCACAATTAATTAATTAATAGGTTCCACATTCCACGAAATCTTTATATATTTAACTGATTCAATTTAGAATTATTCAATTACTGGCAACACTAACTGTTAAATTGTAATTTAAAAATGAGTTAACCAACGTGAGCAAAATTTTAATTTGACAATCTTTTGTCTGGGGCGATTGTAGACAGGAAATGTATTGAAAGTAAGCGAGAGTAAAATTCACAGATGATCAAGGTGTTTCCTTTTCTGCTATCATATTACTGTATAATTACGTCATTCATCCAACACTAGTTGTATGAGAGATATGAGGTTGCTGCTGCTTCAGTTTTCACACACCTGTGACGAATTTAAATCTAATTTTCATGATTTCATTCATTCATATGTACGTATGTGCAACGTGAATGGAACAGATATGTAACTGTGGGTATGGAATGAATGAATGACCTTAAATGGTCATTGTAGTAAGAATCCACCCATTCTGTGGCCCACTGTTTGTGGGACTCCCCATTTTTAGGCCCCAGTCACTTGCTAGCTATCAAAATGTGGGTCAAGTACATCTCTAAACTGCCATACATGAATCAAATTAATTAGTATAGTGTGTTCCCACCAACAAATGAGATTTTGTGGCTTATTTGTAAATAACAATTTATTTTAAGATTAAATTAGTGTCTCGCTGTGCTGCTTCTAAATGTTAGTTGATAGTAAGTGTAATTTATTGCCTCGAAACTGATGTATTGTTGTCGGCTGTAAGGTAGAAGTTGTCTTTTATTCAGACTGATTGAAATGGTATATCAACATCGCTGATGTGAATCAAGTAAAGAACATTGAAATTGAAAAACAAATTAAGCTAGAATTTAAGTCATTCTTGTCTGTTATAATTAGTGTTGACTCTAACAATGACTCAGTCCTTGCTTGTTTGTAGCTACATCTATAGGTGGAAATAAATTGAAATCTGTTTTCAATCAAAGAATAATAATTGGTCATAGCATCATTGAAAGAACGCGATGTCTTAGAATTCGCTTGGCAATCCACTTGGAAAAAAAAAATCATGGAAAGCATGATGATATCGTAAACTATGACTCAGTCTGTAAACTGACTTGCCAACTTTACTTTATCGTCAGATCAAACCCTTGCATGAACCATCTGTAAGTTTTCTCTACCCATTACCTGATATAATTGTTGTGTGCCATGTGCCTGTCAAATTGTCTTCATCTTTCGAAAAAATAGATTACAGCAATGCGGAAAGAACCTGGAATTAAAATTGAGTTCATAGTGTACAATTTGCACTTAGATTATATTTGTACATTATGAATACCAACAATTTTTTCCGTGACACGTAATGTTTGACTTTTTGAATGAAAAATTAGATCTTATTTGAAAATATAAAATCTTGTGAGAAGCCGGGACCTTTAAGCGAAATCTGTGTCAAATAAATTACTAATGAAGGAAGAATGCCAAAATATATATCAAGTGTCACAGACCCTTTATCATATGACAGAGGGTCTGTGCTTGTGTATACAGTATAATATTTAGAATTGACTTGTTTCATTGAAGTTGATTTATTTCATTAAAGTAAAACAATCACTCACCACATCTGATTTGTAAGATGTATGACCCATTAGGAATATACAGTTACCGGTATATAGAATAAGGGAGTTAGTAGACATGAAAAGTTCAATTTGTATTCTCAGTGTCACAAGTATACGTATACTGAGTGTATTCGATTCAGTCAGTGACAGTCGCAGTCGCTTGATATTTATTGTTTTTTGGTGTTGATAGGTAGGGCTTGCGAAAATGCAGAGAAATTTCAATTTGAAACGTATAGCTATCCATCCATACAGTATTTGTGTCTCCCTCCATTTGTGTCCACCTTGTCGCTCTCTATGTCGCGCAAACACAAAACACATATGAATGAACAGCGAGCATTAAGATGAGACCCAGGTTTGTGGCTTATTTTGCACTTATACTAGTACAAGATGTTTCCCATCATGCACTAGCGAAATGGTGAAATTCAAGATACGAAGAATTGTTTTGTTTTTTATCTGTACATCAGAAGACTATACAATCAACAAATATTTTGTTGAATGTCTGTTACATTCTTCATCACAACAATGAAACAGCAACCTGTTGCAAACCAATGTTTTCTCTAGCAGGAATTTAGAGTAGAAATGTCCTTGTGAGCAGTAAGAGTCTCTGAATTTGTTGCGTTTAAGTGAGTCAGTTGAATAAGGGCACACAGAAAACATTAGTGGATCAGTTTCCTGTTTGAATAAAAACATACATACATGTAGCAGTACAGACAATGTAAATTATCACTACTTACCAACTGTATATGGTTTACCGTATGGATTATATGTAGAACACAGTCAGTTGATCACTTGTTAGAATCGTTGGATTTAATGAAATCGTACAATGAGTAAGATGCAAAGATGAATCACTCTTAAATAAAAAAGAAATATACATAACACTACAATTGAGTAACATTATCAAGGATTTATAAGAATATGAAACTAGAGTAATATCAAATGAAGATCTCGATACTAGGTAAAGTGAATTGCGAATGATCAGATAATCACATGACAAACCTGCATTTATAGAAATACTATGCAAATGAGCCTGGTTACTGTTGATTTCAACCATTTTTGCTAGTATCCTTGCTTATTCCCAAAGCATGTCTTGTGTCTCTTTTGCATTTTTGAATACGATAATTTCCATTATCAAACCTTTTCGTTACTGCTATTGTTTAGAATCAGCTTGATTTAAGTACAGGCAAAGTGGCATCTTTATCGCATATCACTGTACATAGCCTTATCTTGTAGATCCCTGATAATATGAGGTTGCGTCTTGGATTCCAGTATTTTGTGTATAACCATAAACTGTGACTACGGGTGTATAAAAGGAAAGATGGCCGCCAAGCGTGAAACAATGTTTCGGGGTGCTCCGTAAAATCAATCTTTTCGACAAGCTTAATGCTTGTGGTGCATTATTTTCATATCGCACGAAAACATGAATATATCTGCGACACAATAACGATGTTAATTTACAAGTTTGAATTAATGTCAGTTGATTTCCACATAAAAGCGACAGGAAAGCATGATTCCAACAGTCGTTTTGACTGCTTAAAATGACTGTCAGTCATGGGTTTATGCAAATGCAAGGTGTTAATCCCGACTTGTTTGTTCAATCTCTAGGTATGTTTAAGTAATCACGGAGTTGATGATGCAAGTACGTCCCCGACAATACGTCTAGTATATTTCTCGAATTTAATATATGACGTTCCCGACAAAGTACAAATGTGTCTTGAAATAAATAAATTGAAAGATCCCACAAAAATGTACCCTGAAATATATACCCGCAGTGAAATGATTGGTGACTGACAACATTGTCTGTGTTCAAAACCTATGTTAACGTGAATCGCACACATATTCATGTATATTGGGCATCGGGCAACTGGGTATGGCCGTGGCTATGCCTCAGAGCCGTAATTTTGCGCCTTGTGTAGGTCATTAAAAAAAAAAAAACTATTTATGCTGATGCGCTGTTTCGTGCAAGCACAGAACTAAATAAGAAGCTCCATGAAAACTGCTTTCAAAAGATTTCAGGGTCCCTGTGTGCGTTGAACAACACTATTCAATAGGTCCTTTGAAATC